GCTCCAGAGAATAGGACCCAGAGCAATGGATGCAAGTGACAGGAAAAGGAGATTCCACCTCAACATTAGAAGAAACTTCCTGACAGTAAGGGCTGTGGGACTAACATGACTATATCCTTCCTCCTCCGAGTCTGGTGGAGTCTCCTTCTTTGGAGGTCTTTAAACAGAGGCTGGATGGACACCTGTCACAAGGGGGTGCTTTGATTGTGAGTTCCTGCATGGCAGAATGGGGCTGGACTGCATGATCCTTGAGGTCTCTTCTAACTCTAGGATTCTATTCAAACAAAAATCCATCAGTGATATCTTTATTGGCTGACCAAAATGCACAATATACCTGTTGCAAACTTTCGAAACTCCATGAGCTTCTTTCCTTTGTTCATCTTTTTAAAATTTGAACTGAATTCGCATGTTTTACCTCTGCATCCACTAAAATATTCCTGATGTAAAAACATGGAGACTTCTTGAGGAATCCATTGATCTCTACCGCAAAGAGGCCTCTTGCCTCACTGGAATGGAGACATATTGGATTGCAAAAGAGGGGTCCCTGTTGAGATGCAAATGGATTTTATATTTCCTGGACTTTGCAAATCTCCCTGTAGCCACAGGGCCAGAAAGAGGAGTCTGCCTGCAAAAGATATCATACCCATCATATACCAGACTAAAGACTGGAACAACAACATGTAGGCACCTGACTAACTAAAGGTCTGAACAGACTGCCAGAAATAATCCAGTTTGAGGCCACTTTAACTGTCCTGGCTCAGGGCTAAGGAATCATGGGAACTGTAGTATATTGTGGCACCAGAGCTCTCTGACAGAGAAGGCTCAATGTCCCAGAAAAAAATACAATTCCCATGACTCCCTAGCATTGAGCCAGTACAGTTAAAGTGGTCTCAAACTGGATTATTTCTGGCAGTCTGTCCAGGCTCTAATTAACATCTCCAATTGTTTTTCTCCTGTTTGGTTTGTAACTTCTTGCCTGACCATGAAGAAGCAGCAGCCCATGGAGCTTCGAAGGCTTGCAATAAATACAGTATAATATTGTGCATTTTGGGTTGGCCAATAAAGGTATCACTGTTTGGTGGATTTCTGTTTGAATTTGCTAAATGGCCAACGCAGCTCCCCCTGAATGTTTTCTATGTCTCTCTATGAGGGGAAGGCCCAGCTGCCAGGAGGGAATGAAGGAGGGAGGCTGTGGCGGGG